CCTTCTTGATGGCACAAAGGAAAACCTGCTTCTAAAATGGACCTGTGGGGGGGTGGATATGGGGACTCAGGAGGCTGAGGAAGGAGGATAGTGCAAGCTCAAGACCAGCCTGGGCCACAAAGAGAGCTCAAGGCCAGCCTGAACGGCACAGTGAGACCCTGTCTCAATGAGACAAAAATAATTCATTAAGCAAATAAAGTGGCCCTGCGGGAGCAGGCATGTGCTAACATAAAGTTTACAGCAGCCATCAGAATGCTCCAATTAGGAATGCAGTCAAAACTGGGCTCTTGCGGACGCACAGAACCCACGCTGGTCACCGAAGCAGCAGCAAGAGCATTTAGAAATGGCTCCGGCTGGGTACCGAGTGGACACTGATTTCCACCTTACGCCGCAGCTTCCCCTCCAGCCTTTGGCGTCTTACACTTACCCCTGCCATACTAAATGCGCTTGACTCTGCTCTGCTGTCTCCAGCACTGCATAAGCTCCCTGCTCCTCCTTTGGACCCCTGACGAACTCTGCCCCAGCCCTGGTACATCTGACCAGCCTCAAGACCGGCCTCAAAACTACCACTGGCACCATGCCAACAATTCCAGGCTAGGGCCTCGCCTAACCCAACTGTAAACACTACCTCCCCTCTAGCAAAGCTTCTTCTTTTGTTTGTTTTGTTTTGTTTTGTTTTGTTTTGAGATAGGGCCTTGCCCAGGAGGGGATCTTCCTGCCCAAGCCTCCCAAGTGCTGGGATGACAGGAGGTGCCCACTTCTGGCTATAGCAGGGAGATAGCTCAGTGGAATAAGCACTTGCCTGGCAAGCAAAAGGACCTGAGTTCAATCCCTGGTTCCGGAAAAAAAAAAAGCTTCTTGAAGACCAGTGAAACAAGGACTGGCCCATTTTCACCTCCATTCACTGCAGGATCCGTAATTAATCTCACTGTATGTCGTATTCACAGTTAACATCAACTTCAGCAAGTTCTATTTTTAGTGATTATTTATAGAAACTATTATTTGGGAAAAATCTGTTCAATAATCTCTAATTCTCAGATATTAAGTCTCATTGCTAATTCCATCTCCAAACTGATCTTTTCTATCCCAAAGGAAATTCAGAACACTCTTTCTCTATAAAATTTGGCGGTTGAGTTGTAAGGTTTATATAAAGCATTCTCTAGTTTTAGAGTTTTAAGTCATAGAAGCAATGAGGCCATTTATGGGACACTTATTAAATCAGATCTGAGAATTGCTGACATAGAATATTACATTTTTCTAGTAAATAACCTATATAACTCAGTTAATAAGTTAAAGTAAAAAGATTTTAATGTTCTTATACAGCATAGAGAATAAACACTGAAGGAAATGCGATGTCTGTTTACATCAATTAAATGTTTTCTTTCAGCAAGTCCACTTACGTAACAAAAATCTTAGCCAGAATGAAAGACAATAGTCTTTGTCATAGATTAATCAACTGCCCATCAAAAATAAAGTTTAATGCTTTTCTTAATAAACACAAGGAATTCTGAAGGAACAAACAGACCAGTGTGTCTGTTACAGGTGCACCCTGTAATCCCCGCACTCAGAAGGCTGAGGCAGGAAGGTTGCCCTCAGCTTGAGGTCAGCCTGGTCTACACAGTAGTTCAAAGCACCCTGAATATAGTGAGATCCTGTCTCAAAAAGCAAACCAAAAACAGGCCAGGCAATGTGTTAGTACCAGGCTACATGGTGTTACATCAGGCAGGATACAAACTACCCCCCTCAACTCTCAAGCACAGCCTATAAGGGGAACTGAATGACAATGTGCCCCTAATGCCAGGGCCTGTCCTCTACTCCTAGAAGTTGTGTGAAGCTGCAAATTAGCAGAGCTACATACAGCTGAAATGAAAATCAGTTCAAGGAATGAACTTTCAGAGCAGCACAAAAATGATTTTGTGGCACTTGGCCACTTACCTGGAGGAATGTACCGCCCAGGCGTCCTGCCCCTCCCTCCCTGCTGACCTATCTCCCTCCCAGTCAGAGGGGGAGCCCAGCCCACACAAGACAGCATCTATCGGGGTGCCAGTAATGAACCGCAGCCAAATGGAGCCTCAGGAATAACTTCCATACTTCCTGTGTTGATTTGGGTTCTCTCTCTCTCTCTCTCTCTCTCTCGTCTCTCAGCTGAGCCATCTCCTCAGCGCTGTTTATTTTTGAGACAGTCTCACTATACTCACTATGTAATTCAGGCTGGCCTTGAACCCATGTAGTTCAGACAGTCCTCCTGGAGGATTAGGATTACAGTCATACAGCACTTTCCAGACTTTTTTTTTTTTTTGGGTACAGGGTCTCTACACAGCTCGGACTCGTAGTGATCCTCTTGTTTTCAACCTCCCCAGTACTGGGATTATAGCCATGGTCTACCACGTCAAAACTCAGTCAAAACTCAGTTGCAGGCTCAGCATGCCCAGGGACAGGGCAGGGCAGGGCTGGCGCTGCATGCAGTACGGGGATAGAACTCGGGTCCTTTTGCTTTCCTAAGCAGGCTCTTGGTCCACTGAGCTAACTCGCAGCCCCTTTAAACCCCAAACACAAGCTGCCCTGAGGCCCTCCATGTAGCCTTTCACTACACCTCACAAGCCAGCTGTCCACCAACCTCAAATGCCAGAACCAAAGGGAAAGTGAGAGACAACCTCTATGAACCCCACCAGCGCACTCCAGAACAGCTTCTTGGTTGATGTCACTTGGCCATGCCACGTGCCCGAAGGCTTAGCCCACCCAGAGAAGCCACTGGAAGGTTCTAAGGGGCAACAGGCACACACACCAGCCCCTGGTAACCTGGAGACCCCAGTATCCATAGACAACCAGATGGCTCTGCCAAGGACGCCCAGCACCCACACTGACAAGTCAGAGGGTGCTTTTGGGGACCCCCTCATAATGAAGTCACCATCCATGAGTATTCTACAAGCCCAGGCCTCGGCTCTGTCCCCGCCCATCCCCTCGTAGGACTGCAAGAGTCAATCTGGGGGAGAGAGGTGGGCTGGACCCTGCCCTGCCTGGCTAGATGCTGCAGGAATTTCTGCCCGCTCATCGCTGGGATCTGAGAGGCTGCCTGCCCTTCCCGAGGAAGGAGCCAGCTCCCAGTCTCGTAGCCAAGGACCTTGAGAGAACCGCACTCCCGAACAGGGTGCTCCCGTTCCCGGTTCTCACGTCCTCACAGATCCCCACTGTGTAGCTTCTCTCCTAAGGACGCCACCTCCGGCGACATTCTATCTCCCCACGCCCAATCCCTGCACAAGGGCCAGGGCAACAACAAGCACAGGGCCATCTCAGGCTTCCAGAGCCGCGCTTCCGTCCCGGAAACACAGACTCCAGCCCACAGCAGCACCGGCTTGTCAACGCCCACCGTGGACACCTGGGTGGATACCTTAGTCTTCCTCTGCCATTTATCATTCAAATGAGGTTTCACCACACCCCAGGGCGTCACCCAAAGCAGCACTGGAATCCTCATCTCAGCTCCCGAGAAACCCAAGACCTGGCTGACCTGACCACTCTGGTGTGGAAACCCAAAGCTATTGTGCCTCTTGCGACTGCATGGCGCTTCTGAAGTCTTGGGGCTCTGGAGATAACTGTGGTGTCTTCACCCCCCACGGTAACCCACACTGCTCTCCACAGCACACCTTAAATATTCACCCAAGCTTTACCCCAACAAGCACCTTCCTACGCATCACAAAAGCTCCCTAACATGGGTCTGTAACACGCAAAAGCAACAGAAGAGAAAGGCCTCCCTGCAAACCACTTCGCCATCGTTCTAGGCACAGCTTCAAAGTTTGGTTTTAAATATCTAAATTTGGTTGTTAAAGGCAGCTAGGAGGGAAAGGGGCCAAACAGCCCCAGGGGCCTCAGTTTCACTTGACCGGGAGGCACTTGTTCAGAAACACAGATTCCCGGGCCCCACCCCAAAAGATTTAGAATCAAAACCCCAGGGTGGGGTCCAAGAATCTGCAGTGTTTTAAAGTGCCCCAGGCCAAACATAGAAAGCAATTAGTAAGTAATCAGGGGTTGAAACGCTGCTGTTGTCCTAAATTAGTCTCAGCATAAACTTAATTAGCATAAGGCTCATTTTAAAGCCCTGCTTGAAGGCTGGGAGTGTTCTAACTCACAACCCTGGGTTTCATCCCCAGGGTCAAAAAATAAGGAAGAAAGAGAAAAAGACGTCTCACTGGTCGGGCCAGGTAGTTTTTGCTTTGGTTTGGTTTTTTTCCCTTTTAAGAGCATCCCAGTTCCTGCCTGGAAAGTTCAAGGTCCTGATTTCGATACCAATACAAAAAAAAAAAAGTATTCCAAGTGAGGTCAGGTGTGGCGGCACACACCTGTAATCCCAGCAGTTCAGCGCTGGAGCAGGAGGCTCACGTCACAAGTCCCAGGCCAGCCTGAACTACACAGCACCGAGCATTCCAGGTGCATCTGATGAACATTAGGGTGGGGAAATGCACAGGTGGACAGAAACTTTGCTTTGCCACCAAGACTTCCGGTCTTCTAGTCTGCTGAGCACTGTCCCCATACCCTGGGCAACACAGGTCAGTGCACACAGCAGGCAAGAACGCAGCCCCTGAGCTTTGCTTTGAGTGGATGATACAAATAAAGCCAGTGGAACTGATTCAGGAAGCAAAGGCAACTTCAGTGCCATGCGAGATCCCATGTGTTTGAGCACAGGAGACCTAGGGATGTTTGAAATACATAGGGCAGTTCTGCTTTTTAAAAACAATTTAAAGCTCTCTTCCCCCAAAAGTCTTGCTTTTCTTTGAATCAATTTAACCATAAAAAGTGATAGAGATCTTAATTAAGATGTTTTGTAAAGTACTTGAGTTTGTCATTTTGTTGACATTTAAATGTTACTTCCTCTAAAAGCTATTCTTAGGTATCCACTAACTAAACTGTTGGTTTAGATTATTGTGCTGCCAGATAAGATAAAATTTGAGATAATTTACTAGAGAGCAACCCACTAGGTTAGGAGTCTCCTCTCCTTTCACACTTACCCTTGAGGCTGTCTGTTGTGTTGGAGGGGAAGTATTTTTGCTGCAATCGTCTGAGTTAGAAGAAGTTGAAGTTGGAGTCATAGGAACGGAATTATTGCTATTACCTGCAAGAGTCAAAATCAACCCATGAATACACACGCACCTACTGTTAAGATGGACAGATACTCCACAATCAAATCGCTATATTTACCAGAGCAAGTCTTTGACTTGTTTATGTTTTTAGGTTTTCGTTTCCTGGTTTGAATGCCTTCTTTTTTCATAGCAAGTGGTCGAGGCACCTAGAAAAAAATTCACATAAGCCTTAAGTTTATTAAGCATCTTGAAGGAAAACCAAAGATTGACACTGGGATTAAAATCCCCCATTGAAAAAAAATTTGTCATAAATTTCAGCCCAATTTTTATATACAATAGATTCAAAGTACAGAAAGGCTACACATTCACCGTCAAGTGCAGATACTCCTTAAGAAAAAGGGGTAATTAGGCTGGGGGTGTAGCTCAGTAGCAGAGGTAGATTTGATCCCCAGCATGGAAAAATAAATAAAACTGAGGGAAGAGGGTAATTTACAAAGGAGAATGTAATTCTTTCAATTCCATGTTTATTGCTTGAATAGCCTGGGCAATTTAACAAGAGTTTGTCTCAGAAAGGAAGGAAGGAAGGAAGGAAGGAAGGAAGGAAGGAAGGAAGGAAGAAAGAAAGAAAGAAAGAAAGAAAGAAAGAAAGAAAGAAAGAAAGAAAGAAAGAAAATGTAGCAAGCACGGCCTAGGAATGTAGCTCCGAGGCAAAGCGCCTGCCTACCAAGCACAGGGCTCTGGGTTTAATCCCTAGCACTGCAAAAATATAAGTAGGTAAATAAATAAATGAATAAAAGAGATCATGTACTATTCCTCTTAGAGCTTATTTTTCTTTGTACGTTTGAGATATTTATAATTTTTTATGCAATCCTCTTAAGCCAAGGTACAAAATGAAGTGTGTTTACTCCTCTGTACAAATGTCTCTGCTTGCATTCAAGAATTTTATAAATTGCTTATTGTGCCTTGGTAGTTGATCTGAGAACTGCTTACAATTTAAACATCTGATCTTAAATATACTGTTAAAAAAAAAAAAAGCCCCCTCACAGTTTCACATTTCTAAATTGGGAAGGTGTGGTACAGGGGTGCTGTGATAGCTGAACCGGCCGCGACTGATTTTTCAGACCACATGAGATAATAATTCCTATCACGAGTGCACCTTCCGGGCAACCGGGTGCATGGTCGCAGCGTTCGGCTCTCACACGCTTTCCTTTGCTGACCTCTTGTAACTGAAACCGTACAGAGCAGAGGCTAAAGGTACACGCTCGCGAGCAAAGAGAGCTCCGCACCCCGTGGAGTTTCATGTAGAGCCCACACGCGTTGCACACGGGTTCGCCCTCGGCGTTCCGGCGCCACAAGGTGGTAGTGGTGGTGTGGCAGTTGGCACAGGACAATCCCAGCCGCCGCGACGAAGGCTACAAAGGAGGAAAGGAAGGAGATGCACGTGTGGTTTTCTGTTTTCAAAATGACCGTAATGTACGCACGCTCCACACCCGCACTAGCGCTGCCTGTCTTCACCAGGCGACTGCTGTTACGCTTTCTAAGGGGAAGATTTTCTAAAAGTTGCCAAACGGCTGTATCTTGAAAGAAACCACCATACAACTGGGCACGAAAGTGAGGGTCCCTAAGTCCCAGCTGAGGGAGCCACACCACTGTCACGGATGTGGGGTCCCGAGGAATAATCCTGCGTGCGGGTGTGCTCAGGGGCCTTGGGAGCCGCCACCTCCTCCCGGAAACGGCAGAGCCTGGGTCTGTTTTTCAGCTTAATGTGGAAGAATCAACCCGAAGCTACAAGGCCCAGCCCTTACACGGAAGCAACCTTAGAGATAGAAGATAAATATTAAAAAGGATATAAAAGACATTTGGAAAGATAATGTTCCATTTCCTCTAAATTATTAGGTGAGTTTTAAAGAATAAGATCTTTTTACTTTGGTTTTTTTGTTTTTTGTTTTTTGGTGGTACCAGGGATTGAACTCAGGACCTTGTACTTGCCAGGCAAGCACTTATTCCACTGAGCTATCTCCCTAGCCCAAGATTTTTTTTTTTTTAAGAATAAGAATTTAAGCTAGTAGAATATCCACCCCAGAATGGCAAAATATAATATTTATCTCTAACTTACTAAATTTATATTTCTTTTAAAGCTAGATTTAAATGACTATTAAAAAACCGTGCTGTGACTTCAGTTTAAAAAGAAAAAAACTATGGGGAATATTTAGGGACAACAAAATGAGCTCAAGTTAGCTATACATTGACCTGAAAAGTAAGTTATGAAGAGCGACAATAAAAACGCCAGTAAGGATGTCTTAAGCATTCTCAGACTAGTTGATAGATTTGCAAATTCTCTGCCGGCAAATTGGAATGATGAAATTGGATTTTGCATTTGCAGTTCACACCCTGCTTATGGCGTTAGCAGCATTCCTTATAGCCCGGTTGTAAAAACAGACACCGGTAAGCCTTTTAGCAAAATGACATTTTTCACAAGTCAGTGCTAACAATTCTTAACACCCATTCTTAGCCCTAGCTTCCTAGAATGTGGTTAAAATGATAGGAAGTCTATTTGGGGAAATTTCTTTGCTAGAAAGATGAAAATACTAACAAAAATCTTACACATTGGGGCTTTACTTTTTCCTTCTCTTGTTGAGGTTTTTAAAAAAACATAACATTCTAGGCAAGCACTCCTTTCCACGAATGTGAAATCTCAGCAAACAACGGACAGGAAGATCCATTTTCTAAAATGGGCCATTTATGAGTTTCCAGGGGAATCTGGAGCCAATGTGGAGCGAACTTGTTATCAGAATTTGCCATTTTAACAAAGAGCTTTATGATTGCCAACTGCGGATCATAAGGGAAGCCAGTCCTCATAAACATGTGAGACGGAGGTGATCAGGTTATAAAAGTCCCTTGTAGCAAGCGATCACAGTTGTACTCCTCACTGACAAGGAATTCAAGTTACACCATAAATCTCGCATTTTGCAATGCATTGCAAGTTCAAATCCACACTGATTGGTTCTGTACTGCTGGCTAAACAAACTCAAGTTCAACACTTTCTGAGAACTAACCCAGACCCATGAAAACCATAAATACGAATCCCACAAAAAGAGCTAATTGATAGTGACACGCCCTGCAATTGGTATCATTTAGAGCTCATTTACAGAGCACACTGGCCGACCTTGGTAGAGGCCAGGACACCTGCCACACAAAGAAAACTTGACTCCTAAATGTGGAAAAGCCATTTGCTTGCTGCTAACAGTTATTTTTACTGGTAAATTCACAAAATAAATGGTTACTATCTAAGTATGGATGTCACTAGATGACATTTTTTAACGCAACTAGACCTGTTAGTGCCTACCATTACACCATCCTGAGGTATTATCTTTCAGAGATAGTACTGAGTGCTTTTCCCAAAAAAAATTAATTGTTTTGTTGTTCATGAACTGTCAATACTCAAAACCAAGGAACTTCCCTGGAATATTTTCCTATTACTTTTCACATGGTGTATATCCAAATAGTTAAAACCATAAAGGCACAGAGTTGTGCACCAGAGCTACTGGCACCCTCTCAAAAAAATTCTAAGCCACGGGAGCCTGTAACAGGTTTTAAGGCACATACGCTCATTAAATTAACCTGGGCCACTTAATTTTAAATGCATTAAAAACAAAACAACCATAAAACTAATTGCTTCTCTTTAAGGTGTCAGACTACATTGTGGTGCAATTTCACTCTAATCTATTTAACACAAACAACATGTGTAGCATTTGTTCTGCTAATTAGAGTATAACAATTAAATAAATTACCTGGATACTTAAGATGTCTGGCATCTAACTGCAAAATTTTACTTTAAAAAGGTGTTTAGGCAAAGGTATTTAGGCTAAACAAATGTTAGCCTTTAGTGGAATTCAGGAAACTTTAATTTTGCTGACTACAATAGCAGTAAATACCCTCCTCCTTAGAAGCATACCTAACAAGCTAAGGTGACATGAATCCCTAAAGAAAATCAAAATTCTCATTCTTTAAGCCTTGAGGAAATGATTCAATTGGTGAAAGTCCACAATTAGGTATATACTCCGCATTTTCCTAGGTTCTGCTTGGTTCTCTAAGGAGCCAGATTTTAAAATAACCAAGATTAGAGTAAAATATTCACCAGACTGAAGGGCCCTCCGAAAGATGTCGCGACTGGGGGCTAAACCTGTCTCTCTTTGAGGCCCAGACATAAACCACATGAGCCCTAACATGTGACTAGAGGGGCCAGGCGAGGCAGAATGTTCAGGAACATGCATAGAGTGAGTGCCATTCTCAGGAAGAAAAGTCAAACGGGACCAAAGAGGACGCGGTGACAACCATCATCGTCCCCAGTTTTTCCTCCCCAAAGACCCCACCATTCCCAATTCCTTGAACGTCTCCCCAAAATTATTTCGGTGCACTGGCAAGCACATCTAGCTATTTGCAAATACAGATTTGGATTTTAAGAAAACAGCAGCACCTCTCGGGCTTCCTATGCCTGTCCCTGAGGGCCAGGCTGGCAATGGCTTGGGCTTCCTCCGGGTCTAGCAGGCTATGTTCCCGGCCCACCCTGGGGGGCGGGCGGCCCCACTCACCACGCGCTTCTGCGGCTTAATGAGAGGCCGGCTGAGGCCGTTCATCTTGCTGTAGAGGCCGCACGCGTTGCACAGGTAGTGGCCAGTGCCGTCACGTCGCCACAGCGGCGTCTGGATGGAGCCGCAGTTCGCACACTCGCGGCTCTCGGGCAGGTCCTCCAGCAGCTCTGCGGGGACAGCGAGACGAGAAGCGGGTGAGGCTGCGCCGGCAAATCCCCCAAAAAACCGGTACCCGGGCTCCCTCCAAGCGGAGCTGGGACAACTCCCGCCGCTGCCGCCGCCGCCGCCGCCGCCACCACCCCGCGCCCCCTGGGCCAACACGTTCTGCGGCCGGACTTCCATGCCCTCGGTCCCCAGAGAGATCGCGGAAAGCCGGAAAGCTGGCGCAAGGCTGGAAGCTTCCCATAGCCTGGGGTGAGCAATGCGGAAGTCAGGTTAGGTCCCCTGATCCCTCGGTCTGTCCCCAACTATCTTTAGCACCATATGCTGCTTGTCAATGCCCAGCCCGGATCTCTACAACCCGAACACCCCAGGACACGCTGCCTTGCTCACTTCTTTTGCTTTTGTTTTGTTTCTGGATTTTGTTTTAAGAAAGGGTCTCCCCATGTGGTCCAGGCTAGTCCTGTACCCACTTTGGAGCCCACCCAGGCTGACCTCGAACTCGCAGCAATCCTTCCTGCCTCAGCCTCCACTCCTGCCGCCTTGATCACTTCATCTGGAGTAATGTAAAAAGTATTTTCCATAGCTGCCACCTTTCCTACATGCCTTTTGCCCAATTAAAAAAATATTAACACATGAAACTTTAAGTTCTATTACTGTGCATAAATGCAATTAATTAGAATGAGAAGGAAATTTCTTGGGAAAACAATGCCAGTAGTAAGCATAGAAATTCAGTTTTATTTGTATGCCACAAGGAACAAGCATGAAAACATTGATCTCTACCTGCAGAATTTTTACAAAAGGTTGATGCTTTACTGCTTGGGGAAATTACTAAGCCCCTCTCATTGATAAATATAACTATGCTATTTTCCCACACTAAAATTTTAATTTCTTCCATCGATTTAAAATGTGCTCATTTTTAACCTTTTTAGTGATCTGCTTATGTTTTAGAATTGACATCTCCTAAACCTGCTAAGAAAAACAAATCTTAGTGGAGTGTAAGTGGTTGTAACATTTATTACTTCCTCTCAAGAAAGTAAAAAATGAAAGAACACATTTTCTAAAATGAGATGGGTATTTTTTTAATTAAATACAGGCTTCTAAAAAAAAACATAAGTGTCTCCAATTTGGCATTCTTTGTGAGTATCTGTGAATCACTTTTTAAAGTAAATCAACACCACACCTTAGCATTTTAATTGAAGACTAAAAGTCCTAGCAGAGCTTTTTATTCTTCTGTCCCCTGCAGTTTATAGATAGCCTCTACTGTCAACTGTGTAGTGAAACTATTTAAATGTGATTTCACATAAAATGCTTGCATCCATTAATACTATTTACCCTACCAAGTAAGAGGCTGGCCTCACTTCTTGAGTTATTCCTTTGGTTTAAAGGAAGCTAGCATCCCACACAAGCCGAGTTCAAAGTTGTCATGGAGACTCTGCAACTCGAAGCACATCACAAAGATTTATTCTTCTCTGCCCTAAAAGCCACTATTGACCATGGTAATCAGTAAAGCGCTCGGGACTTCAAGGACACTGAAGTTAAACAAGGTATTTATCTTCGTTGTTGACTTTAAAATGTTACCTATCAGAGCCCCTGGCCTGAGGACCAGGGACATTCCCTGCAAAACCCGGAACAATAAAGACAGAGGCGGGTATGCACCCCAGCTAGAGTCCTTAGCCTCTGAAAGCCCCAACATGAAATTTAAAGTCCACTGCGGAGAACTGAAATCTTTTTCCCCCTCACTTCCTTTCAACTTCTCCCCCACAAGCACCAGGCAGCTACAATTCCCTTACTCTAAATTTTTGTCTGAATGCTGTTTTTATAAAACTGGAAAAAGTCAGTTGGGTCCCCACTAAACGCATTGCCTGTGTCTGAGGTGACTGCTTGGGGTGTTCCTGGGTCCCAAGGGGTCAGCAGTGCAGTGCATTTGTGGGGTGCTCTGGGCCTGGGGTGAAGCATTTTCAAGCATTTCCAGAAGCTTACAGACTGTCCACCCTGATAAAGCATGGTGCTCAGGTTTTAGTCCTGGCATTTCCTCAATTCAATTAAACAGTCTGCCTCCAAAAATGGTTTAAGAAAAAATATCAGGAAATCTAGCCAGAAGCTGGCATTAGAACAGCTGAGGACAAGCGAAGTGAGGGTCCTCATCCCAAATACTGGCTCAGCCCATGTTGCTTCCTGAACAGACTATGCAAACTCTGGGCATTCTCAGGTCATTGTTATTTTGTTAATACACAAAAGGATGGGGTTTTTCTAACTTTGTCAGGTCACATCTAGAAAGTGAAAACATTACACAAAAAAATAGCTAAGTTTAAAAGAAAAGGGAACTACATTCCCTGCAACTGAATCCTCTGAAAGCATTCTCAGTCTGAACCATCACTGTCCACGGCTGGCTGAGGGCTGGGTGGCTGAGGACTGGGGTGTCATTGGAGTCAGCTAAGGTGTGTGCAGAAACAGGCCGGGTTGCAGATCTGCTCCAGCTGCAGCCGCGCCCCTTCAAGCACACCCCGGATCCGTGGGGCTCCCAGACTGGCCCAAACACTACACACCCCGCCAACACCCCCTTCCCGCCCCTCTAAGATGCCTGACTTCCCGTCCCTCAGCTCCTCCTAATCAAAGTCAAGTCCCTGTACTGCCAGGTGAAACCCCCGTCTCAAGCCCCAAGCCCACAGGCCCAGCCCATAGGCTGGCCCTAAAGATGGTCTCCAGGGCCAGCAGCACAAGAGAGGGAAGGAGGGGAATCTAGAATCCAATCCCAGCCTACCAAGGGGGGAAAAGGCACTTGTGCCACTCAGCTCTGTCACTGGAAGACCCCAGCTTTATTCCCCTGAGGCCTCTGGACACCAGAGGAGTAAGGTCCCATTTTATCTCAGCAACTAGGAACTCTAGTAGGACTCGCGTCCCTAAAGGAAGCACCAAGCCCCCACCCCCAGAGAAGCACAGACCCAGGCACAAAGCACACCTGGCCAGGACACTTGACTGTCTTCTCTACCTCTGGGCAACAACGCCAGCAAACAACCAAAGCCTTGATTTTCCTTAGGACCCAAGTTATCGAACAGGTGAGAGAAGAGACCTGTGCACGCTTCAGCTGAGAAAATACGTCAAACCACGGCACAGACGCAAGTGCTTTCTGAAAGGAGGCATTTCCAAGTCTTTCCCAAGCTTATCCCACGCGCCCCGGCCGCAGACACAGAGCAGGGTGTGGCGGAGCGGGAGCCCCACACGCAGCAGGGGAGAAGGAACTCATCTCGGAGAGTCCCTGGGTCCCAGGCTGGGAGCAGTAGCCCCAGACCCCTCCCAGCCCAGCGAGGCCCAGTCTGCGAGCCGCCAGGGTTTCCAGTCTCCTTCCTCGCCCACTTCCCTCGCCCTGGGCCTGGGTCCCGCGACGGTTGCTCTCCCCAGCCCCTCCAGAATACACGCGTGTCCTTGCCTTTGGGGAGTTCGATTGAATGAGAAGCGTGTAGGTCTGGGGGGAGGCTGAATCAAGTGCCCACTAGCACCCCAAACTTCCCCCAAATGAGAGTGCGCGAGGGCGTTCAGGCCCAGCCAGTCCCCTGCAGCTCCTTCTCGCCGTAGCCTGACCTCTCCGAGACCAGGCGGTGGAGGGTGCCCTAGAGGAGCCCAGCGGGTCCACCACCAGGCAAAACCCCTCCGCGCCCCCGGCCCCGCCCCCTGCCCTGCCCTGCGGACGCAGCGGCGCGCTTACCTGAGCTTGGGCCGCGCGGCACCGGGAGCGGGCCTCCGGCGCGGCCCTGCAGGCTGTGCAGCACCGGGCTCTCGAAGGGTCCGGTGGGCCAAGCAGGCGTCAGCGGCGCGCCCATATAGGGCGCGTATGGGCTCGGGTGGTGGTGGTGGTGATGGTGGTGGTGGTACGTCCCGTTCAGCGGCCGCGCGGCCGATAGCGAGCTGTATTGGTGCTCCCGGCCGCCCATGGGCGCCAGCCCGCCGCCGCCGCTGCTCACGCCGCCCGCGCCCCCGCCGCCCGCAGCCGCGTAGCTGCCGGGCTCTCGCGCCGCGCTTGTGGCCCCGGGCGGGCTGGGCGAGTAGGGGAAACGCGCGGAGCCGTGCGTCCCGGCGGAGCTGGCGCTGCCGGGCCCCGGGGCGCCGCCGGCCGCTGCTCCGCCCCCACCGCCATACGGAGGGCTGTCGGCCGCGGCCTGGGGCCAGCCGGGATGCGCACCCGCGCCGCCCGCGTGGTTGGAGGGGGCGCCGCCTGCGCCCTGCAGGTAGGGCAGGCCTGGCAGCATGGAGCCCACACGCGTGGTGGGCACGTAGACTGGGGAGCTGGCCGCCGCCGCCGCTGCCGCTGCCGCCGCCGAGTGCACGAAGCCGCCGGGAGCGCCGTCATAGGCGGCCGGGCCCTGGCCGGAGAGCGCGGCGAGTGTTTGGTACATCTCCTCGGGCTGCTCGGACGCGAAGGGGCTCAGCTTGGCGCCCCGGCTGGACCACAGCAGCTTGCTGGCCGTCGCCGCCTGGTCGAGGTCGGCGAAGAGCAGCAGGTCCTCCCAGTTAGATAGGGCGCTCCCGGGGCCCGCGACCCCGGGCGCCGCAGGTCCGTGCGCAGCCCCAAAGGCGTGAGACGCGTAGGGGCCGAGCAGCAGCGAGCGGGCCGGAGGCCCCGCCACCGCCTCGGTGTCGAGCTGCGGCGTCCTGCAGTGGCCGGCGCCGCCGCCCCGGGAGCAGGAGGACGAGGACGAGGAGATCGGTGAGGGTGGTGTGGATGGCTCCCGCACTGAAAAGGTTCCCGGGTCGCCGGCGTCCGCAGCCGCGGCCCCGAAGCGCTTCGTCAGGCACCAGCCGCCGTCAGTCAAGGCCATCCACGGTCCGGCGCCGCTCGGAGTTGGCTCCTAGCTCCTGAAGCGGAGTTGGGGGAGAAGGGGACGGGAGAGAAAGAAGGTTCACCTGGAGCAAGAGCCGTGTGCCACTCACCGCCGCTGCTCCCCGGGCGCGGGCCAAGAGCCTGCGCGCCTACCCTAGGGGATCAACCCCCCCCCCCGCGCGCCCCGGTGCCCCTTCTCGTCCGCAGCATCTTCTCCTGGCGCTCCAGACCCCGAGGGACCGGAGAGGCGGCCGAGACCGCTGACCCCACACACGCGAAATAAGTAGCCGTGCGAGCTGGCTAGGGCGGCCGCCCCTCGAAACGCACCAGGACGATGATTTCCTGCTAGAAAATTGCTCGCGCCGGGACTGCAACCTGTCCCCGAAAATGAAACTGCCGCTTTGCCCACGGCTTCCCGGACCCTGCGCACCAGACCGAACGCGAGTACCGGAGCCGTGCTATCCACCCAGCGAAAGTGGGCGTCGGGTACAGGCAGCCGGGATCGTGAGAGTAGGGGTCGTGCTGGGAGCCCGCAGCGCAGGAGCCTGGAGTCCCCTCCGTGTCCCCGCGCGCTGCACACCTTAGCCACCCGCGCGCGCTCGCGCCGTCGGCCTCGCGGCCCAGCCCTCAGCCCTCGGTCACCCTCAGCCACAGACAGGCCAGGCCGGACCGTTCCGGAATCGGACACAACGGGGTGGAGCAGCGTGCCGAGAAAAGGGGGGGGGCAACGCAAGGGAGGGGGCAGGAGACCGCCCCGCAGCCGAGGCCACCCCAAAGGGGAGAGCAGGAAGAATGACAGAGGCTGGAGGGGGTGGGGAGGCAGGCCCGACGCAGCCAGGCGGGCCTCCTCCGGGCGGCTTTCCCAGATCGCTTCGCCTCATCGGAGATAACCGTCCTGGAATTAGTGCCCACACACAGACCCGGGCTAGATAGTGAGCAAGACGGCCCTCTGCCCGCCGAGCTTCGGGCGCCCGCCCCCCTGTGCTGAGATAACTCGGAGATAAGGCTGCGCGCAGATAAGCACCCGGGGCGAGGAAACAGCACCAGAAGTTGGTCCGCGGCGTCCCGGGAACTGGGAGCCGCTCCAGCCTTCGCTAAGGGGAGGACGGCGACACCCGTGGAGCCGATCGCGCCTGGAAGAGCACCGGAGGCCCCGGGCCGGGATGGAGGGGGGAGGGAAGTGGGGAGGGTGAGCTGTAGAGGAGGTGGCCGAACCTCGAGCGAGCGGGGCGCATGGAGCACGGCGGCGGTGGCGAGGGCCCCGGGCGACGCGGAGCGAGGCCGAGGGCGCCGGCGGCGGGAGAGCGCGAGTCCAGGGTCTGCGCGGCTCTGCTGGAGAATAAAAAGGAGAGAGGAGGCGCCTCTTACTGCTCTGCCGGAAAACTGCAGCCTGCACTCCTGATTGGACTCACCGAGCCCTAAACAAACAGCTCTCGCCGAAGGGTGCCAGCCTGTGGGTCGGAACTGCGCTCTGGGAGCAGCTGGGCGCGGAGGTGAAGAGGAGGAGGCGCGGCGGAGGAGGAGGGGCGGAGGGAGGAGAAAAGGGAGGGTGGGGTAGGGACGGCGGGGGGAGGGGAGCGCGCCGCCAGGCAGACAATGCGCGCCGAGCAGGCTGCGGGCGTGGGCCCGGCGCCCTGAGCGGCCGGGGCGGAGGGGAACGGTTGCCCCCCAGGGGGCGCCCAACTAGGGGACGCTCAGGAGGGACAGAGGCGACAGAATGCCCAACCTGACTGGAGACCTCTACCCAGCTAGAAGAGGTGCACCCTCCAGCGCCCCCAGTTCCCTACACACCCGCGTGCGCCCGCTCACACACCCACACCCGGGAAAGGGGAGGGAGGCGCGGACGATGCACTGCCCGGCGCACGCCAGGAGCGCGCCCCCAAAGTGAGGGGGGCGTAAGTCCTTTGCCGCCGGGCCCTCCAACCGACCGTCCTAGCAAATGAGTTTTGGGGTTCTGCCCCGCCGAGTGACCGACCTTAGAGTTTCCCCTACCCAATTTCTAGATGCTAGTGCTCGGGTCGGGGTGACCTTTGGGCATGGGCTCCTCTGACCCGAGAGAGAAGGATCCCAGATGCCCTCTCTATATTTCTCTTCTGCTCTTAAAACACTCGCCAAATCCTCGGGAGGGTCGCATTCCCCCGCTGGACTTTGGGAACTTTTAATTTGGGGTTGCCGGGTGCGAAAAGCTTAGTTTACGAAGTGTGTAAGATGACAGGGGGCTTCCCTACCCGTGGTGCGTGGGGACAGCCTGAGCTGTGCCCTCGCTCTTGCTGAGACTCTCCCGGGATGTCAGGTAAGGCGCAGATAAATCGCGAGCGGGAGGTGGTTCCTTCCGCGGACCCAGCGCGGAATCCGGACTCCCTGCCCCCACTCTCGCACACACCCCTTTCTTGCTGCCACGGAACGGCGATAGCAGCTGTGAGAACGGACGCGGGCCTTAGCGACCAAGGACTGGAACGGGCGTCGCGGGTTATCAGCCGCATCTGTCAGCGGCGCGGGCCAGGACACGGGTCGAGCTCCCTGTCGCCCACGGAGAAGACAGGGGAGAACGAGGTCAGGAGGCGCGATCCTGCGGGATGGCTCCGCGCATCCAGCTCTCCCCCTCCCCAGGTTAATAGAAGTAAATGATTTTCTAAAGGTCAGTCTCCCTGAGCGCCTTTGGGCTCTTGTTTTGTTTTGAGGAGATATATATATATATATATATATATATATATATATGATATAGATATAAATATAGATTTACGTTTTTCCAGTTGAGGAAGGGAGAGGCGTCTCGGCAGAGTCCAGAAGGACTTGGGGGTGCGCTGTAAGCGCAGTTTGGAGAGAGGGTGCGACCTCTTGGCAAAAGGGTTCCTGGTCCCAGAACCGTGAGCCTGTGAGAGGGGTGGCGGTGCGGAGAGGGGGCTCTGAATCCAGGAAGTTGGCGAAAATTCACCTTTTTTCATCCTCCGTTGTAAATTGCTGCTGAAGACCTCTGAATTTTAAATTGCTACCGAGAAGGTCCATAAACCGTTCTCGACTGATTTAGTCACTTTTATGACCTTCCTCTCTGCCACCCCCAGTCCCCGCGCCGGCTCCCAGTTGCAGCGGGTTGGGAAACGCTAGAAGTGGAAAACTCTGGAATGGAGGAGAGACTGGCGACCGGAGCCGGATCCAGGGCTTTAAATTTTAACCTGAGTTCGATCGAGCGCGCCGTTCACATCGTGGCTTCCAAGGTCTCCCTGGATTTAGGTCCCCAGGTGCCTCGCACGGAGTTTTTTAAGGGACCGGGTTTTGCAAAGTTGGTGTGAAAGCAGTTACCTGAACGCTCTGGATACTTGATTTCTTTGAGTCCAGTTTTGTTTTTGTTTTTGTTTTTTGTTTTTTGTTTTTTCTAATAGTGCTTCTCAGATCTGCCATTAAAAGGAATTTTTAAATTTTTATATTTGCTAAAAATAATTGCTTTGGTGAAGTTTGAGTCTAGACTGCTGTCGGCATCCAAGCCGGAGACTGGAGTCTGAGCCCCTGCGCGAGCCTGGTCCTGGTGTGCTTCTCCTTTATGTTTCCGAGTTCGGGGCATCCGTGTGAGTTTGCTGGGACCCCAGCTAGCCCCTGTGACCTGCGGGCCAGCAGGTCTGAGAGGGTGCAGCCGGGACACTGCTGCATGCAAAGACCTTTGGCTTGGGCTCAGAAGATACCCCCAGCCACCATCAGCGCCCCAAACAAAGGGAGAGTGGGTGATGGTTCCTTTTTCTGGGTTTCTCCCTATAGATTGATTTTCAAACCTGGCAAGGGAATGGGTCCAGAAATGTGTCCTGTCAGTTAACTAAAAAATAAAGCAAAAACATTTAACCTGGTTAGGGACCAAATCCAGGATGCCGGACCTCTAGGATTTGCCTTTTCCAGCGCGTCGGCCTTGAGCTGAGGCGACGGTGCCCAGGCAAGGGCGCCTTTTCCGAGCTGCCCCGCAAGCCCCAGGCCTGCAGAATCCGGTGGTGGAGGTAAAGGCGCAACTCGGGCCGGAGGACCCCAGGCGCGGGCCGGAGAGGCCCCAAGCGCCCCAGTGGACAGATCGCTTCAGGAGCCCTTTTTCTGTTTCCTTTTGTTTGTCTTTTTTCAAAGGTCCCTCTCTCCCAGCAGGCCCTCCCGGGCGACCCGCGGCGGCTTTGCTGGCACTGAAGAACCGAGGCGCTGGCCCGGCTCAGTGATTTGGGCCGCAGCGCCGCAGCCAATGGGGCGCGGGGCGGAAGCTGTGCGGCTCAAACTGGGCTTTGGGGACCCGCGCGGACGCGCGTGCGGGGCATAGGAGCCCCATAAACCCGAGCTGCATCTGGGGTCGTCTCGGGCTCTCGGCTCCTCCAGAGAACTTGCAGAAACACAAAGAATCCAATTTCTGACTTAAGACATAGTTTTAACTTAGATTTAAAAAAAAAAAAACAGATTTATGGGGCCTTGAAGGTTGTACCGTATTTCTTCCTGCCCGAAGGACGCTGCCGCCCAAGGACACGAGGTCACCCTGGCGGCCCCCACCCCCACCGGCATCGGGCTCCAAGCAGCCGGTCGGGCCAGGGACGGGGACCCCACGCGGTGACCTCGGCCCTGCAGGCCAGACCAGGCTGCCGGGCACCGCGGCTCTCTGCCCGCCCTCCTGCCTGCCTTCGTTTGCTTCATCTGTTTTCTGCCGTCCTCTTCTTTTTTTTTCCTTCCCTTTCTTTCCTCTTTCTCGTCTTTCCTTTCTTCCGTCTTTCCCTTTCTCCCTTCCTAACTCTCGCACCGGCTACACTGGAGGCGTCGCGCGCGACAGAGGCCCGAGGGTCGCCCGGCCGCGGTCCTGTCCCAGCCCTGGACAGGGCGGGAGGTCGCCCTGCGTCAGCCTCCCACTCTCTCCCCTCCTCTAGCTCGTTATCTGACCGCCCCCTGATCGACGACAGATCTCCCTACCTCCTGCGGCTGCATTAAACCAAATAAATGTGGCTCTCAGGGCCTCGCAGCCTGTGGGAGCACAGAGGTGTCTTTCTGGGGTCGCGGGCAGGAGACAAGGGCAAAGCTCAGACTCACACCCGATAAACAAATTCCGCCCTGCTCGCCGAACATTGCGACAAGGGGGACATCGGGGCCCTGAGTGCTCCGCCTTGGAGGGCCGGACCTGGGGCCCAGGGAGCTGGGGGACTTCAAGTCGGAGCTCTAAAACGTCCCTACTGTAATTCTCAGAAAAACAAAACCGAGGTTGAGGGTGCCTAAGTTGCCGTTTCTTTTTTTGGTTATTTACACTGAGTAATAAAGACAAAAACAAACTACCCCGGCATCAGGCCTAGTGATGCCAGAAATCCCAGCACTCTCGGATACTGAGGCAGGAGGATCTCCAAGAGTTCGAGGCCAGTCTGGGGTCGTCTTGGGCTCTCGGCTCAGTATGGGGCTATATGTGAGTTCATGGCTAGCCTGAAATACACAGTGAGACCCTATCTTAAATAAAACAAACAACAACAGAACCCACCCCTGGCTGCCCACACCCTCTCTGCGGTCCTGCTCTGGCCTGTGCGGTGTTTCCCTCCGCTCAGGATTCTGAGCAGAGCTTCCTCTGAAGGTGGGCAATCAGCTGTGAACACTGAAGTCGGCCCGCAGCGGGTGTGGACCAGGGACTAACGGTGCTCAGGTGCAAGACCGAGGTCCACTCCGCCACCCCGTTAATACTGCTGCCTAGGGAGGTCTTTATCATCACTGTCGATCGCACCTGGCATCGCTACCCGAACCTGGGCAGTACTGGGTGAGGCACTGCCCCTAGCATCCTTCGCTCCCTCAAGTGGGCTCTGGGCATGGCTTCTGGAGGGCTAGAGGTGGGTGGCAGTCAGAACCAGGCTCGGACCTCCTCGCCCCGCCCCAGTTTTCCCCCAACACCCTCTTCCCTGGGAGCAGATGGGACCAAGCAGCGCCTTTTCCCAGCACCGCCTCCCCTCTCTCCTTGAAGATGCTGGCGACCAGGCTGGTGAAAGGCACCCCAGGCCCTCCGACCTCTCCAATCCTCCACTTATCTAATCCTGCAGCTAACTCAGCTTCTGGGGTGAGGAATCAGGGCGGGAGGAAAAGGGCTCTTCCTGTTCCTAAGGTGAAAGAAACATCCCCCGCCCAGGGCAGGCTCTCGCAGGTACCCCTGGGATGCTACCTTGAAGAACAGGGACGGTCCACCCTGAGGCTCTCACTCTGGGCCCATCCTCCCTCGCTGCCCTTGGGAAGCACCTGTCTTTTGGCTTTGATCCCCCCCACACCCCAGAAGGAGGGACAGGGATTTCTAAAAGGAAGCAGAAAATTAGTGAAAACTGGGCTTTGGGGAATTGGCTATGTCACAGGTGCCCCTCCTTGTGTCAGCTGAAGTGGAAAGAAAAGACCCAGCACTCTGCAGGTTGAGACAGGAGGATCCCAGTGAGTTCCAGGCCAGCCAAAGCTACAGAGCAAGACCCTGCCTCAAAAACCAAAAAATATAAATAAAATAAAAAGAAGAAAATGACGGGGCCAGGGAGATGGCTCAGTGGAATGAGTGCTTCCCTGGCAAACACATGGCCTGAGTTCAATCCCCGGTTCTGCAAAAAAAAAAAAAAAAGAAAGAAAGAAAAGAAAAAAGAAAAAGAAAATGCCCCCCAAAATTTACAAGTCACTACATCCACCACTCAGAAGCAAGATCTTTCCAGCCACGTGGCAGACATGCAAAAACCCAGACCAAGGGCTCCTGGGAACTTGCTCAGGAGCACGCACTGGGAGGAGACCTCCAGGAACAAACCAGGCTTCTGAAGTTTCCCTCAGAAGTGGCACCTCTGTAGCAGCTTCCAGGGATGGGGACCTTTGGGATCTCCTCTCTCTCTCTCTCTCTCTCTCTCTCTCTCTCTCTCTCTCTAGCCCAAATTGCAGTTGTCCTTAAGGGGTTTATAGGAGCCCCTGAGCAGCTCAGGTCTGGGCAGCTGGTGAGGTTGCTGTGACAATGCCCCTTGCTGTGTGACCTGCAGCTAGCGGCTAGATCTCTGTCTGTGCTACTTCCTGGCTGCTGAGAGGTGTCAGAAGGCTCAGCAGGAAGTGCTCCTGGTCCCAGGTACATTCTTGGCAAGCACTATGCGAGGACAAACTATTATCTTTTAATTTTATTTTATTTTATTTTTTTTTGGTGGAACTGGGGATTGAACTCAGGCCCTTGTGCTTGCCAGGCAAGTGCTTATTCCACTGAGCCATCTCCCTGGCCCGACAAACTATTATTATTATCGGGCCGGGAGTAATGGTGGACCCCTGTAATCTCAGCACTCAAGAGGCTGAAGCAGGAGGATCTCCATGAATTCAAGGCAAGCCCGGACTACATAGCAAGACACTGTCTCAAAAACAAAAAGTAATTATTACTAATAGAAGTTGACCATTTCCTACCACTGCCCTTCACTGCGGTAGGGAGGAGGTGGAGAGGCGCTGAGGCTCTGGCTTTGGCCGCTGTAAAGGGGAAACTGCCGGTCACTGCCCCAGCAGATGCTGCTGGCCAAGGCACCTTCCACAGGACAGGATCCAGTGGAATCCCAGATGTACAGCACACACCCCGCAGTCCTTCCAGAGGGAGAGAGGACGTTGCTACCGGCCAGGCCCCTCCATGCAGGGTGGCCTGAGGACTGGCAATAGCTATTGGAGGGGGAGTCACTAGCGTCCTGGTCTTTTTTTTTTTTTTTTTTTTTTTTTTTTTGATAAACAGATAGCAATGAGACAGTTTCAAATCAAATCGGAAGTACAGTTTCAACAAAGAATAGTTTTTTTTCTTTTTTTGGACAAAAATGTTATCCTCTGCATTTTTGTTCTCTCTTTTTTTTTTTTTTTTTTTTTTTTTTTTTGTACCAAGGGTTGAACTCAGGACCTTGCACTTACCAAACAAGCACTTATTCTACTGAGCTATCTCCCCGGCCCTATTCTTGTTGGCTTTTTAGACAGTGTCTCACAATGTAGTCCAGGCTGTCGTCAAACTCCCAGTCATCCACCTGCCCCAGCCTTCAGACTGCTGGATTTACAGGCATGCATCACCAAGCCTGGCTCTGACATTTGCTGTACGGCCATTCATTCATTCATTCATTCATTCACAGGGCTGAGATCAAACCCAGGGTTCACACAGGCCCGGCAAGTGCTATACCACTAAGCCACTCTACTAAATAGGGACAAATGTAGGCAACTCTAGACATCTCCCATCTCATTTGCTTTCTGATTCTCCTCCTGCTGTGTCTACCCTGTTTAAACCTCAATAATGAACTTTTTAAAAAAATCTATAAATGAGAGCTGACCAGATATCTCAGCAGACTAAAGCACCTGCTTAGGCAGGCAAAGGAACCAGGATTCAATCCCCAGCTCCACATACCCTGCTGGCTCAAGACAGTGACTGAGACTGGGTATGGTGGCACATGCCTGTAATCCCAATGGGAGGCTGAACACAGGAGGATCACTGTGAGTTCTATTTGTGTAGTGAGACCCTGCAGACCCTGCACTAAAAAAAAAAAAAAAAAAGTCTGTAAACATAACAAAGACTACTGCACCTGATGGCACACACCTGTCCCACCAGTCGGGAGGCTGAGTCAGGAGGATTCCCATGAGATCAAAACCAGCCCAGGCTATGTAGTGAGTTCAAGGCCAGCCTGAACTGCACAAAGAGACCTTGTTTAAAATAAAATAAAATAAAATAAAATAAAATAAACTGGGACAAGAGATTTGTTTTTCAGAAGCAAGGTGTGCAGGGAACAGAGAAGCCTGCTCGCTTCAGGTCTTCCACCGGGTGTAAGTCTGGAGCCCTTTTTCCCTGGGCTCTGACAGCCCTGATCTTCCACCTTTGATTTACCGAGTGCTGTCCTTTCTCCACTCTTTACTTTCACAGTCACATATCGAAAGCTGATAAAGTTCAAGACCTGAGTGTGTTATGCGCTGCAGATTTACAGCCATCCCAGCCCCTCTAGCCCGCCAGATCCAGGCTGCTGTAGCCAGGCAGAGCCCTGGACTGACAGAGCAGTGGGGCCCGGCTCTGGGCAACTTGTGCAGCTCCTTCCCCAGGCCTCACATTGTCACAGCGTCTGTCTCAGCTCTTTGCTAACTTGGCTCTGCAGCCTGCTGTGGGGAAGTATGGTTACACTATATAGCCAGGCCAGCCTCAAGCGCATGCAGGGGGACCCTCCTGCTTCAGTCTCACAAGGGCTGGGTCTTGGGCAATGTGCGTGGTAGGAACTGTCACTTGGAACATTTAGAACTGTTTACGCCCATGCAAAGTCGGGGACAAACACATGAGTGCTGGGTCTTCCTGGAATCACGAGGCAACCTTGTTTGAGATCAAGGGCGACACTTACCCTTTGGTGCCTCAGTTGCTGAACCTATAAGATGGTAGGAATATTAGCTACCCACAGACAGCCAGCACAGGCAAAGGGAAAGATTTAGCGCAGGCCACCCTGAGCCTGTGAGATTTGAGATTTGACACAAACATGGACTTTAATCTAAACCCCATGCAGAAGCCAGAACAAAAGGAGGGGCTGTCTGCAGCGCTGAGCAGTGGGCCAGGGAAGACCACGGCCCCCAAGATGTACTCTGCTCTGCTGGGAGATGCTATCCACAGAACAAATGCTGCCTGGAGCTGTGGCCAAGGACCCTATTTTGCACATGGGAACTAGATGAGCGCTTCCTATTTACAAATAAGTGCTTCTTTGAATTCTTTTGTATGAGTTGTTTTGCTTTGTTTCATTTTTGAGACAGGGTCTCACTATGCAGTGCAGGCTGGCCCTGAACTCACTTGATAGCCAGGCAGGACTCGAAATCCTACGATCCTCCTGCCTCAGCCTCCCAAGTGCTGGGATGATAGGTGGGCACTACCAGACCCAACTTTATTTCCCTGCACTGTGAGAATTTTCTGGGTTGGGTGTAGCTCAGTGGTAAGCGCTCACCTCTGAGGCCCTGAGCTTGACATCCTGTGCCACACAAACAGTCATGAATTTCAATTAAGATAAACATGGTAGGGGCCGGGGAGATGGCTCAGTGGAATAAGTGCTTCCCTGGTAAGCACAAGGGCCTGAGTTTAATCCCCGGTTCAGCAAGAAAAAAAGAAAAAAGATAAGCATGGTAGGCAACACTGCTTTCAGATCTATTTTTATAAATCACTGTTCCAAGACTATGAGCTAAAACTGTGATTTTTGCCTTTAAAACAGCTTTCCTGAGGAAGAAGACATCACAGCACCTGAGGGGATAGTGCTGTCCCTGCAGGGCCGCAAGAGCAGCTGGATGCTTCCCAGCAGGAAAGAGGGCAGATCTGTGGGGTCGGATCCCTCCTCTGGGCCTCCCCTAAGCCAGCTCCCTGCCCTGTTTAT